TAGGCAGACGAGCTCTCGGTGAAGTGGAGGCCGATGAAGGCAGCCTTGCATTCGCTGCTGGCCTTGCCGCAGCTGTTGGTCAGGGCATCCGCGCCTCGGGTTCCTCCAACGGTGACGAGGGAGTTGAAGAGCGCGACGTCACCGGGTTTGGAGCCGGCAGCGTTGAACTGGACGATGATGGCGCCCGGCAACACATCAGAGACGGTGAATCGCATGTCCTGGATCTGGGCAACACCGACGTCGCCAGCGTTGCCAACCTGAACAACGGGCTTCGGGTTAGAGGCGTCCTTGAACAGGTTGCCACCACCGGAAACCGTCGCCCAGGCCTCACCAACCAGCCTCGAGCCAACAGGCACCACAAGAGTCGAAAGCACGCGGTAGTCGCCAAAGGGGAAATACGCAATCTTGTTGTTGGCGGCAGCAAACTGCAGCACCTTGTTGAGGGCCGCCGAGTCGTCCGTCGAGCCGTCGCCCTTGACGGTCTGGCCGCCGTTCTGGCTGGGGTCCTTGACGTTGACAAAGTCCGTGACGGGGTTCTGCGCAAAGTTGGGCGCGGCAACGGCCGGGATGCGACCGCCGGGGGCGACGGCGGCGGGCCGGCCCGCGGTTCCGGAGACGGCGCCGTAGATGGGGTTGCGGCCGACGGTGTTGCCGTAGCTGTAGTTGACCACGTGGGACGAGGCGCCGAGGGCCGTCGAGCCGCGCAGGACGACGACGTCGGAGCTCGTGTCCTTGGTCAGGTTGTCGATGACGATGGACGGGTAGACGGTGGTGCTGAAGGTGACGCCCGAGTTGATGGACGTGGCGTCGACGATGCCGATGAAGGGGCTGCCGCCCGTGTTGGAGACGCCGGTGCCGACGGTGTCAAAGGTCGGGTTCAGCAGCGTGATTGTGTTGCCGCCGCTGATGAGCATGCCCACCGTGTTGCGGTAGAAGTAGATGCTCTTGTACAGCGCCTGCTGGTGGCCGTTGTGCCAGATTCCCGTCTGGCCGTTTTCGATCCTCACGTCCGCGAGGCCGAGGGTCGATCCTCGGCCGAGCTGGATGCCGGTGTGACCCTTTCCACCGCTTGACGGCGCAAGGACAATCTTGACGTTCTGCAGCTGAGCGGCCTGGGCAACGCCCCAGTACAGGGCAGAGATGCTCGACGTGGCACTGACGGCCGTGGTGTCCAGGACGACGTTCTTCAGGCCGACGGCAAACGAGAGCTCGCCGGACACGCCCGTGGACGGATCCTGGCCGTTGACAAGGTAATTGCCGCTGAAGCCGGCCGCGGCCTTGATCACGGGCGGGTTGGTGGCGTCGCCCATGAGGATCGTGTCGGTGCGCATGTTGAGCGTGTTGGACAGCGTGTAAGTGCCCGGCGGGAT